AGGGAGAAGCTGTGCCAATTTTATTTTACTGTTTTAATCTCCTGAATCCTATGTAGGCTGCAGCCATTTCAGTTGCTCAAGACACCTATTTTATTATATATATATATAGGGAAAAGATGGGATTAGCTCACTAGCTCATATGAACGTATGAGCCCAACGTCCCAAATTGATTTTGGGCCGATTTGACGAACACGGGCGTCCGGTAGTGCTTGAATTTTATTTATTTTTCTACAGATCCAAATCACTTGAAATTTTAGGCATGTGTTTATTAAAAATAGGTGAATCTTCGAAAACTATTAAAAAAATATTTACATGAAATAAATTGACCAAAATACCCCCGAAAAGTTTCGGGGGGTATTTTGGTCAATTTTTTCTCGCCAATAATCTTTTTTATATTTTTATTAGGTTCGTTTTGATGAGAAGAACACACACTTAAAATTTCAAGTGATTTGGATTTGTAGAAAAATAAAATAAAATACAAGCACTACAGGACATTTGTTATCGTCAGATCGGCCCAGATTCAATCTGGGTCGTTGGGTTCATATGTTCATATGAGCTAGTAAGCTAATTCCATCTTTTCCCATATATAGATATACTTTGTGATTTCCATGCCGACAATTTGCTATTAATTTTCCCTTTTGACTCAGGTAAATGTGCTGACACATACAGCGGAGGTTCACCGTTCCTCTGAGCAGTTATCTAAGATAGAAAAGATAAAGAAGAAGCACAAGGCCCAAGATGAAAGAGAAGGCCTTAGTTTTTGTCTTCTGAATGAAGAAAAGGTTGATGAGGTGAATGGAAAACAATCTTTAAAAGAGAAAAAGAGAATGGGGATTGCTGCTGGCAAGTCATTGGTCTGTACCAATGGAGAATCTTTTTGTTCTGACACAACCATGGCAAATATAACTCCTGAAACTAATGAAGAACATGGTGATGGTTTTCGAGATAAAAAAGAGTTGCCTGGTATCACAATAAATGAAAAGCTTGATGCTGGTACAAGGGGGCAGGAAGAGGTAGACTCTGATTTGTTTGACAGAAAGACTGAAATTAGTGAAGTGATTGGTTTAGATAGTGGAAAGGAAAAAGGAGAGTTCATTTTCCGTGTTTGTAAAACAGAAACTAATGGAGAAGTGGATGTTGGAACTGAGACGCATGATAATGGGGAGGCTGGTTTCTCTGGTATCAAAAGTGAAAATATCGGAGCAGATGCTAGAAGTGATGGGATCAACTGTGAAGGTGGTTCTGGTGGTGATGGACTAGAAGTCATTAAAGATGTTGGTCGTGGCAAGGAAGAGCAGAAAGATGTACATGCAAATGAGGAGGCTGCTGGTTTCTGTGTTACAAAAGTAAAACACAATGAAAACCTTGATGTTGGAGCAATGCAGCTAAGAGAGGAAAAATGTAGTTCGCGTGATGAGGAGGCCAGCTTATCTAATATCAAAACTGAATACATTGAAGTAGGTGCTGGAACTGGAAGTGAAGGGGTCAAATGTGAAGGTGGTTCTGGTGGTGATGGACTAGAGGAGATGAAAGATATTGGTCAAGGTAAGGAAGAGCAGAAAGATGTACGTGCAAATGAGGAGGCTACTGGTTTCTGTGTCACCAAAGTAAAACACAATGAAAACCTTGATGTTGGAGCAATGCAGTTAAGAGAGGAAAAATGTAGTTCACATGATGAGGAGACCAACTTATTTAATATCAAAGCTGAATACATTGAAGTAGGTGCTGGAACTGGAAGTGATGGGATCAACTGTGAAGGTGGTTCTGGTGGTGATGGACTAGAAGTCATGAAAGATGTTGGTCGAGGTAAGGAAGAGCAGAAAGATGAACATCCAAATGAGGAGGCTGCTGGTTTCTGTGTTACCAAAGTAAACCACAATGAAAACCTTGATGTTGGAGCCATGCAGTTAAGGGAGGAAAAATGTAGTTCGCATGATGAGGAGACCAGCTTATCTAATATCAAAACTGAATGCATTGAAGTAGGTGCTGGAACTGGAAGTCATGGGATGAACTCTGAAGGTGGTTCTGGTGGTGATGGACTTGAAGTCATGAAAGATGTTGGTCAAGGTAAGGAAGAGCAGAAAGATGTACATGCAAATGAGGAGGCTGCTGGTCTCTAGTGTTACCAAAGTAAAACACAATGAAAACCTTGATGTTGGAGCAATGCAGCTAAGAGAGGAAAAATGTAGTTCGCATGATGAGGAGACCAGCTTATCTAATATCAAAACTGAATACATTGAAGTAGGCGCTGGAACTGGAACTGATGGGATCAACTGTGAAGGAGGTTCTGGTGGTGATGGACTAGTAGTCATGAAAGATGTTGGTCGACGTAAGGAAGAGCAGAAAGATGTACATCCAAATGAGGAGGCTGCTGGTTTCTGTGTTACCAAAGTCAAACACAATGAACAACTTGATGTTGTAGCAAATCAGTTAAGAGAGGAAAAATGTAGTTCTCATGATGAGGAGACCAGCTTATCTAATATCAAAACTGAATACAGTGAAGTAGGTGCTGGAACTGGTCCGAAAGAAACCAATGCTGGTTTAGCTGATGTTGAACAAGAAATTACAGAAGATGTCGACGAAGCTATGGAAGAGCCAAAAGATGTGTGTACAATGGAAGACAGCACTTACTTATCTCACACTGAAGTGAAAACTGATGAAAATTGTGACGTAGGAGAGGAGCAAGAAAAAGAGGAAAATCCTGTCTTCTTTGATGTGAAGGTTGAAATCAGTGAAGAGCCATGTACTGAAGCTGCTGAGCAAGCAAGGGATGCTGGTTTCTCTGATTCTATACATCCAACAAATGAAGTGCTTGATGTTGGAATTAGGAGTAGAAATGCAACTTGTTGCTCTAATATCAATATTGGAAGTGGAGATGATGAGAGGGATGATGGTGGTGCCTCTGATGTTGGGCAAGAAGCAATGGGAGTTGATAAACATACAGATAACCAAGAACACACCTTTACCAGTACTTCTGAATTTTCAGAAAAATCTCAAAAGTTGAAGGGAGTTTCTCAACATTCTTGCAGTGATTTGGGACCAAAGCAAGAGTATGGTGGTGCACTCTGGGACATCTTTAGAAGGGAAGATGTGCCGAAGCTGGAGGCATACCTAAGGAAACATGCAAAGGAATTCAGACACCTTTTCTGTTGCCCTGTTGAACATGTAAGGGAGCATACTTTTTGTAAACCTTGATTTCTACATGGGTGAATTCTAACATTTTGTCTTTCATGGATCAGGTTGTTCATCCCATTCATGATCAGAGTTTCTACTTAGACACGAAACACAAGAAGAAGCTGAAGGAGGAATTTGGTTAGTTTACATTCGCCATGGGATCTTTTTGTGCTTATGAAAAATGTGATGTCCTGTAGTTTACTGACTCATCATGGAACTTATTAATGGTCTATTTTGTATCTTGGGGATCGTTAATTAGGAGTAGAGCCTTGGACATTTGAACAGCACTTGGGAGAAGCAGTATTTATTCCTGCTGGATGCCCACATCAAGTTAGAAATCTCAAGGTAACTATTTCTTTAGAATTGATTTGTGAGCGTTTGGTTCCATATCAACAAGACTACTTTTTAGTAGAATTTTTATTCTAAAGGTCTGAGCCTTCTTTTTTCGTATACTACAGTCATGCATAAAGGTTGCACTAGATTTCGTGTCTCCTGAGAATGTTCAGGAGTGCATTCATTTGACCGATGAGTTCCGCTTACTCCCAAAGAATCATAGGGCTAAGGAAGACAAGCTAGAGGTGAGCATTCTGTGTTTGCCTCTCTTGGTTTTTGGTTCTCTCGAGTTTTTGCGCTTTTTAATTGGTTTTATGTGGAGCAGGTTAAGAAGATGGGCATCTATGCAGTGATCCATGCATTGGAAGAGATTAAGAGCTTAACCTCATCTAACGGGTGAGCCCTTTTGATTATGTTTGGTTTATAGCATTCAGTATATGGTCGGTTTAGTTTCTTCAAGTCATTCCTTTGAGACGGTGTTCCCCCCTCCCCCAACCCCCTTTCCCTACCCCCGCCAAACCCTTCTCTCCAGTTCCCTGTTCTTCAATTCCTCTCTTCAGCACCTCTCTCTCTCTCTCTCTCTCTCTCTCTCTCT